AATAGAATGTCAACATATATGTCATTGTTTTCATGTAATTCCCCACCTGCCAGGTGAGGGTTGTTAGATTTTATCAGAGCTGTTCTCCTCCTCCTCCTCCTCCTCGGCTAGCTGTCCTCCTCCTCCTCCTCGTCCTCCTCCTCCTCCCCCTCTAGTTTCTCCTCGACCATGTCTGCATCAACTTCCACCTCCACTTCCTCCTTGCCAACTCTTCTTCGCCAACCTGGGACCTGCCCAGCTCAGTGTGCACCGCTGGACCTCAAGCTCAGTGTGCACCGCTGGACCTCAACCAGGGACCGTCTCAGCTCAGTGTGCATCGCTGGACCTCAACCTGGGACCTGCCCAGCCCAGTGTGCACCGCTGGACCTCAACCTGGGATTTGCCCAGCGCAGTGTGCACCGCTGGACCTCAACCGCAAACCTCCCCAGCTCAGTGTGCACTGCTGGACCTCAACGGGCAGATAGAATGCCAGAAGATATGCCAGATAGAATGTCAGATGGAATGCCAGAAGATATGCCACATAGATTGGCAGAAAGTGTGCCAGAAGATATGCCAGATAGAATGCCAGAAGATATGCCAGATAAAATGCCAGATAGAACGCCAGAAGCTATGCCAGATAGAATGCCAGAAGATATGCCAGATAAAATGCCATGAGATATGCCAGACAGAATGCCAGAAGCTATGCCAGATAGAATGCCAGAGGATATGCCAGATAAAATGCCATGAGATATGCCAGATAGAATGCTAGAATGTTAGAAGATATGCGAGAGAGAATGCCGGATCGAATGCCAGAAGATATGCCACATAGATTGGCAGAAAGTGTGCCAGAAGATATGCCAGATAGAATGCCAGAAGATATGCCAGATAAAATGCCATGAGATATGCCAGATCGAATGCCAGAAGATATGTCAGATAGAATGCCAGAAGATTTGCCAGATAAAATGCCATGAGATATGCCAGATAGAATGCTAGAATGTTAGAAGATATGCGAGAGAGAATGCCGGATCGAATGCCAGAAGATATGCCACATAGATTGGCAGAAAGTGTGCCAGAAGATATGCCAGATAGAATGCCAGAAGATATGCCAGATAAAATGCCATGAGATATGCCAGATAGAATGCCAGATCGAATGCCAGAAGATATGCCAGATAGAATGCTAGAATGTTAGAAGATATGCGAGAGAGAATGCCGGATCGAATGCCAGAAGATATGCCACATAGATTGGCAGAAAGTGTGCCAGAAGATATGCCAGATAGAATGCCAGAAGATATGCCAGATAAAATGCCATGAGATATGCCAGATAGAATGCCAGATCGAATGCCAGAAGATATGTCAGATAGAATGACAGAAGATTTGCCAGTAACAACTCGATAAATGCCATGGTGGGGATCACTCGAAGTAAAGTAATTTTTGCGTGTCAGGATATATGCCACCGTGGGGATTACACGCAGTCAACTCCCCAACCCGCACAGCCCCCGAAAGTACTTCCTTCGCCGAGGGAAGACTACAGCATCGAGAATGCACCGGACCAGGAGAACCAGGAGATGCACGATGTGTGGCAGTACCCTCGACCGAATCGTTGTCTGGGGCGGTTTTGAAAAAGTGATGACATGCAAATCAGAGTCGAACCCCAGTAAATAGCTTTATTTAACCGCATTAAATGATGGTTTAACCACGTTTAACCCGTCCAAAAAAACGCAATCACACAAAAACAAGGTTTAAAACAACGAAAAAAAAACTTGTGATCAGTAAATGATGCGGAACTGTTTGGCCATAAAGAATGGGCATTTCATCACCAGCTGTCTCAACTGAGCCAACCTTGGTTTGGCAGCTAAGGTTTGCCATGGAGTTGGGAGATATGATAATATGTTTAATTAACTGAACTGTCCTGCACACGTGAAAAAGTGGGGCGTTGTAACCATCATGATGAATTTCATTTTTTGAACATTATGAAATGAACATATAAGCAATGTGACATGGTACATGGGTTCGGGAATGGTAGATCTTAGGTATGCACAGTGATCTTCACTCATTGTGAAGAACATGCTACCCCACCAAAAGGTCTTGTGACTTAGTCACAAGGTATCCAGAAAAGGCCATGACTCGTGGTTTATTCAGGTGTTGGCATCTGATTTTTCCGGGATGTCAAACGCCATGTCTAGAATCCTTTAGGTATGTTTTTGTTGTACAATCTCTTCATTTACTGTGTCACGTTGGGGCATGCTTGAACAGCCCTGCTATTCCACCTCCACAAAAACCAAGAAGAAACAGTACATTTTCTGAATCCCTCAAGCCAACAAGCGCATCATCTTCCAAAGACATTTTCTTGTTGGTGGTTTGGAACATTTTTCATTTTCCATTTCATATATGGCATAATATGGGTTGTCATCTTTCCCATTGACTTTCATATGTTTCAAGATGGTTATTGCACCACCAACCAGTTTTTAATGCAAAACAAAAGAGTTTCATTCGGAATGCACCAAGGGATGATGACGAAGAAGCAGATGACAGCCCTTCGTCTGGTGCGCCAGGGGGAGGTGGGACCCTGGGAGGGGAAATCCTGACCAAACAAACTGTGTCTGGATTGAAAACGTCGGTAAGTGGCGTTTCTGTGGATGGGTGAATTATCACGCAGATTCTGTGCCAGGCAATTTTGGGTTGGCAAGATGAATATGTTTGTAGTCGAAGTGGTTTGGCGAGCCGCTAAGCCACCTGCAGGGCACAGCTATGCCCAGCAGATGCTGGGCATATAACTCGCTGCAAGCGTAACGTTTTTTAGCGAGTACTTGGGGATGCACCGTTTGGGATATTTATGGTTATAACCATGATCATTTTTATAGTGTGGCAGTAGGATATAACACCTCTAATTAAAACTAAATATACACACATATATAGTTACTAAATATACATAAATACACACATATATATATATATATATGTGTGTGTGTGCGAATTGCCGTTGTACAATGTATTTGAATATTAGGATAGATCCACTTATTTTTGGAACTGTACCACCATGTATCCTTCCGACTGGTTGGCCAGTTGGCCATTTGTTCATATCATTTTCTACTCCGTCCTTTTCTGATGGGGTTGTGCCATGTTATGTTAGTTTTTCGTTTGTGATCCCAGCCCTGCCTCACTCAACTTTGCTTTGAACTACCTGTGAACTACCTGGTAGTTCAACCCAGTCAGCTCCTTGTATGCCATGTCTTTGGTGCAATAACGTGGTAAGCTAATAGATGATTCTTCACTGGCAATACCCCGTTGTGCTGGTTCGGCGATATAAAATCCAAAACCAAGATGGAGTTTTTTTGGGATTTGCCGAAGTTTTACCATGTTGGTTCTATTTGACTGCCGTGTTTGCATGTGTACAGTAGCACCAAAGATCTCAACAGCATGCCAGAATGGTTCTGGGTCATTTTACAGCGATTCCTCATTGAACACTCCAAAAACGGCTTTTTTGCGATTCGAAAAAATCCAAAATCACCTTCGATCAGGGTTGCATTGGGATGATCCAGTTCACAGTTAGATCTTCAGTGATATCAGATATCCATTTCAAGCTGGCTCATCATTTAATAACTGGTTGGTGGTTTCAAACATGCTTTATTTTCCATTGCATGTATGTGATAATATGGGATGTCATCCTTCCCATTGACGAACTCATATTTTTCAAGGTGGTTATTGCACCACTAACCAGATAATTATCCCTCGACCCACTACCAGAGCTGATTGTTTTGTCGGTCTCGAGGAATTGGCATCAAGAAGATCAGCGGTCCCCAATGATTGGTTCGGTCAGTTCATGATTTCTATCATGGTCTCTACCTCAATCAATCCACCGAACTACGCTTTCATACGCTTTCCAAATCTGGATGCTTCAATATCAAAATATTTTTTTCAAATGTATTCAGAAAGCTATATTTGATTTTATGGAGGGAGAGACACATGGTTTCCCTTTCCGCTCGCAGAAAACCATTCCAGGACCAATCCATAAAAGTCACCTGGGTCACCGTCGGTATCCTCACACCAGGTGCCAAGTACAACTCCTCCGAGACGGTGCCGGCTGGCCTGTTGATCCCTGCTCCTGGTTTCGCGTGAGGGAAACCGAAGTGCGGGTAAGGCAGTGGATGAAATGTAGATCATGTGGGTAAAACAATGATTAACCATCCCCCAAATCACCATAGATAGGTGGTATAAACCGTTCCCAAATCGGTTGTTGATTATTGTTTTTCCTACACTATGGAGAATTCACCATTCATGGATGATTTCCTCGGAAAATTATGGGTTGTCGGGTTGTCCATATCCATGTGAGGTGAATCGAAAGAATAGTAGGTACAATGGCGATATGATTGCATCGGGATATGGAAAAGAATGGAACCTTCTCAGGGTGATTTGTTTGGGCTTCACTGCAGCCTCACATTTGATAAAGGACGCTTAGCAGGCTTAGTATAGAGAAAATCCTGCTAAAATGATTTTCAAACTGGTTGGTGTTTTGGAACCTTTTTTATTTTTCCATATATTGGGAATAATCATCTAATCATCCCAACAATCATCCCAACTGACTAAGATTTTGCAGAGGGATTGAAACCACCAACCAGAAAAGGTTGGTAGATTTCATTTTTGTTGATGGAATGGAACCCTTTTTTTCGTTTTTTTCGGGTGAAGGGATTATCCCAGCAAGAGTCCACCCGCCTCATCTGAACTGGCTCAAAAAAAACAAGAACACAGGTCAGCTGCAATCAGATTGGATTGATGGACACATTTGAAAACTGCTGAATTCGGATTGAGCTTCCAGTGCTGTTGTACGGAGAATGACAAGGGCAGTTGCAACATTGCAGGCGCTCTATGCAAGGCTACAGCTATGTTTACTGCACTGCAGCTTATCACTCTTGGAATCAAGGATTTTGTGTTATTTGCGCAATGGAGAATCGCCCATTCTTATCCATTTCTTTGCTGATTTACTTTAAGAAAATTACGGTTTTCCAGTAATTGCCGTGTTTCAGAAAAATCAGGGTTCGTTCTTAAACCGGACCAGTGAGATCGCCTCATCGCCACCCCTTTGGTGCCTTGCTGCATCGGTGACTATGAGGCACGAGGACTGGATGCAGCTGGACTGGAGGAGTGGTAGGTTCAACCCTTATCCCCCACAGTTCGCGTACCAGGTCATGGTGTACCAGAGAGTCCCAAAATGAATGTAAACCTTTCAGCCGTGAAGTGATTGAAGCTCTACATGTTGAAAGGTTGATTGTTTTGCTTCGTCGTCTTGAAGATGTTGGGTCTCACCAGGGGGATCCCAGTTGCCACTAGCCAGGCAGTCATAGGTTTCTCACCTTGAGTATGACTCTTGACCCATCCAAATACCGGGTTGACAGACATGTTCTGCGGAAGTTCACTGTAAACAAAGTCACATTTGATGAGTTGCTAAGATATAGGAAACCGTGAGTTATTTGCTTTCAATAACATGTTCTTTTGCATTCCTCCATTCAATCTGTAATGCCAGCCCCGGATAAATAAATTCTTTTGAGTATTTGCTATACCCCAACATAGGGATAGATTCCTAGTAAATTTGGTACCACCCTTATTAGCGATTTGGTGGGTCTGGTTCATTAATCTTCACATTATACTCGTCATACCGCTTCGTATCCGAATTATGGAGTTCAATACGTTAGTCCCAACAAGGAGCCCGGTTTCGGTTTCAACTCGTAGTGCCTGGAGGTTGTAATGCCTAAAGTCAGTTGGTAATAAGGCATAACATATTTAACATCATATTTCAGTATATTTCAGACATTATGGTTAAGTTATACTGTAGTTATATACATGTAGTTACAACAATCCCCAAACATTAGTTTCCTTATGGTTGCACTGTAGTTGCCGTAATCCCCAAACATTAGTTACATATTTCATTACCCATAGGATCCATGTATGGTATATATATGCTAACATTTGGGGTATATTGATGGGATCCATGTTACCATATATAGCAGCACCATGGATCCTATGGGTTATGGTTACACCCTAGTTGCAATAATCCCTTAACACTGTAGATATTTGCCACACCAAGGAGTTCATAGATGTCCCGCGCTAGCTTTAGCAATGTAGGTGTTGCTGTTGGCCGCGGAACAGTGACGACTCGTCGGATGACAGTTCGAGCGAGGCGCCAACCGGAGATAAGGAGAGTCATGATTTGATACTTTTTTTTAAAAAACCTTTTGGTAAACATACAAAAAACTATGGAAAATCACCATTTTCAATGGGAAGACTCACTATTTCAATGGCCATGTTCAATAGCTATTTTGACATAACCAGAGGGTAAATAGTACCTTCCCAATCAAACAGCCGTTTGGGGTTTATTAGTAAAGGATTAAAGGGTTGACTTATTACATTTTTGGCCCAGCTAACAGTTTGAAAAGTATGATAAATGTGATGACATAACTCCTGCTTCATGGTCCTGAAAAGTTTGACATATGGGATGAAATGACTCCTTTAACTAAGTTGATACATCATCTGGGTGGTGGTTTGGAACATTCTGATTTTTCCATATATTGGGAATGTCATCATCCCAACTGACTTTAATATTTTTCAGAGAGGTAGGTATACCACCAACCAGTCATTATTAACCATCATTAATCATTAAATCACTATTATATATGATTTAAAACACTATAAACACTATAAAACATTATAAACCACCATTAACATTATAAATCACCATTAAATCACCATTTGTAGCTGTTTAAGGATTATTAAACCGTGGATGTGCATCCCAGACATCCACAAATCAAACGGGGGTATTTCAAGAATCCAGTCCACTGTGCCACGGACTTTGTTTCAGATGGCAATTCTTTACTTTTACGATTATTTTTAGGCATGTTTTTTAACTGCCCCAAAATCATTTGCTTTCTTTGGGGGAGGAACAGCTTGGTGATGGTTTTGGGCTTTTCCATTGAAGGCCCCAAAAACTTTCAGGAAAACCAAGAGCTGCAAGTGGACTACGACTCTCTATACTTTCCACCGCAGGAAATGCAAGGAGCGCTGCCGGGATGATTTAATGGAAAGATCATGGAAACATTATAAGGATGTAGAACCCAGTGAGTACTTAGATGTTGCCGCCAGCGTTGGTTACCAGCTTACTTGGTTAATGTTTTTTTTTGCTATGACTATATGCCCCAAAAGAAACTTATGGTATTGAGACATACCCCGCTTGCCAGTCACTTTGCTAATTCCGGTCACATTTTTGTGGATCCGGGTGATGCAGAGGAAAACCGTGTGTCTTACATACCACGCTTGAAACGCTGATCGAGTGTTGAATCTATATTTCCCCACCTGTCAGGTGCGGGTTGTTAGATTTTATGTTAGCTGTCCCGCCTCCAAGAATATGCCAGATAGAATGCCAGAAAAAATGAATATGAGTGTAAGTATGCCAGAAGATATGTCAGAATTGATGCCAGAAAGAATGTCAGAGTATATGCCAGAAACCATGACTTCCAGATGGTGTGTCAGAAACTATGTCAGAATAATGTGTCAGGATGGGGATCACTCAAAGAACGTATTTTAGTTTTTGAGATTTTAAGACCTATGACCTACGATCCGATTTTTTGACTTCAGCGTGGGTTATGCGATTTCAATTGCAAAGGAATTTTGAACAGTTTTTTTTTTTTAAATCCCGTCCATTAGACTTTGCAATAACCCCTCCTCCCTAATATTCAAACATGTTGCAGCTTCCCCAGAAACAATGGTGGTGTTCACATTGTTTTCACATATTTGGAACCACCTAGGGCTTACAGGGTGTTATGGGGGGATGGGGTTATTCAACACCCCGAATTTGGGCGAATGGACGGCCAATTTTCAGGATTTTCAGGGCCATTGTTTATCATCATGTTCCTTTTCAAAATTGCCATAGAAATTGTTGATTTGCAGTATTTTTTAAGGACAAAATAGACCTTGCTTTCTGTGTAATTTTCAATGATTTGCCGTGAAAAACATGGCCATGTTCCATATGTTCATTTGGCAACGGATATATCACCATATTGGTCCACACCATTTCTTCCCCAGGCAGGTTTGGAACACAACCATAGTTGGATTGGCGATTTTTCCGGGGCCGTCTGAACACACAAAAGAATCGCATGCCCTGCGAGATCAATATACCAGATATCGAGGCCGCGAAGTGACCATATCCAATACATTCCAATACTAAGTCATTGTTTTCTTTGTGGTATTTGAGAATGATGGGAAGAGATTTGTAGACCCTTCAAAAGATGCAGAAGTGGTGAAGCTTGGCATGTTTTTATAGGCAGTTTACTAAGTTTACTATGTTTTTTTTCTCTTGTGTGTGGGGCGGGGTGGTATATTTCAATTCTGCCCCCTTAGAGTTGTTGCTTTTATACCTATGTCACAATGTATATATATATGTATACATATGTCCCAAAGTTCCCTCATTTTTGGAGGGAAAAATCATCATTTTCCTCTCAGGACGCCTTATTGTCCCAACCGCAGCTCCAGCTGGACGCAGCCCAAACCTGGCACCCTCGCCGCTGCCAGAGGTGGTGAACTCGTGGCTTGCCCCGTTGGGGAGAAAAGGCTAGATTTACCGAAGAAACATAGGAAACATATGGGAAAATAGGTCCAAAACATCTACTTGATAGGGAAGAAACATCGTTTTTATAGAAAACAACATTAAAACAACACATATATTGATGGGAAAATAGGTCCAAAACATCTATTTGATAGGGAAAAAACATCGATTTTATAGAAAAACACATTAAAACAACACATATATTGATGGGAAAATAGGTCCAAAACATCTATTTGATAGGGAAAAAACATCGATTTTATAGAAAAAACATATTGATCGGGAACATATATATATATATATATACAATATATGGCAAAACACATCTGTTTGGTCGATGTTTTTACACGAAACAGAATGATTGCCAAACAAACATAGAGATAAAAGCAGCGCAATCATCAATATATGGTTATTGATGGTGATATAGCTATGAATGATCGATTTAGCTACAACAATGACAACTTACAAGTCAAAGCTTTCTTTAACCAGTTCAAACAATTTGGATCCAGCGAAAGAGGAAAAATCCCTAGACAATTCCAAGGTCATGCCCTCCAGTTGGTTTGCTGTTCCACCACTATAGTTTGCATATATATATACATATGTATACGTATAGATATATATATATATATGTAGATAGTTATATATATATAGTTATTGGAGTTATTAAAAAAATACCTGGCCAACAAACTGGGGCACCATCTCGCAGTTGTGTCGGTGGAATCGAATCTGTGCCCCCTCAGGTTGAAGTCATTGACTGCCACACCGAAAGTTATGACACCCTTGTGGCTCGTCGGCTCGTCGGCTCGTCGGGTATGACCCAGGGTGCAGTTTTTCGGGTTATCAACGGGGACCATGGTAAGAATTTCCATAAGCTGGGATAGAAATGGATATATAAAGTTTTTTTTCTATGGTTGCATTGACCCAAACCTAATTTTTACTATGGTTACATTAACCATCATCAACCCATATTGACCCACCATAACAAATAGCTGCAACTGCGGCCCCAAGAATCGTGCTCCAAAACCATACCATCAGAGCTTCGGAGCTTGAGGGCTCATACCCCAAGCGACAGCCCAGGGGGTTACGGTTATTGATCCGGAGTTGAGTTGAGAACCAGGAACCCGTGATGTTCAAACTGGTTCTGTAGGTTCTGTATATCTTCACGTGTCCCTCCAGGAATAGATTCCGAAACCGGACCGCTTCCCCATAAACCCAATCGTAAACCTTTCCCAGTAATTAACCAACAATCAAACATGTTCTTCTTTCAAATCATCACCCAAAAAATTGGTTATCTCCAATATCTAGAAAAAATAGTTGTCTCAAATCATCTCCCATCATCTGGTTGGTGGTTTGGAACATTTTTGATGTTTCCGTATATTTCGAATAATCATCCCAACTGACTTTCATATTTGTCAGAGGGGTAGGTATACCACCAACCAGTCATGAAATCATGAATATATTCCAAGTAGAGATGGTTTGTTGGGTTTGCCTGGGTTAATCCGTGGGCTGCTGGCACTGCCGAGGACCAACACTTCACGGCCCTCGCAAGGCAGGAATGGGTACATTGTTTTTTGCTACACAGTTTTGGTTTTATATAGATATAGATATACATATATAGCCACACCATGCACACAAACAAACTGTATATACAACTATATGTATACCATATATTAATATATATACACACGTATAGACACTAAAATACATGTGAATACATCATAATGCATCTCTTGCAGGTTGTTTGACTTGACCATGAACATAGCCACTCCTGAAAAGAACTTTTTTGGAAGCTGGAATTCTGTTGGGGCAGTTGGAAACTTCAAATCCTTTCAGGGATCACGAGTCAGCCACCTGCCGTGGATATCTATATGTTTAAGTTCACCATCGTCCCAGCGTCTCATACCTTAAACCCAGGATGCAAGCTGCTGAGGTTATCCCGCTGTAAATCTCAGCACATGGAGTTCATGGCGATGTGTAAATCCCAATAGTTTCCATAATGTTAACCCAGGACTTGCTAAATCCCGAGTTTGGTAAAGATGGGTGGGTTTCCAATTTCTGAGTACGTAGATTACAAGAACCATTTTGGGAGCACATAACCTACCCATTACCCTTGGTTCATTGTGCTGTAGTCAGTTGGCATCGGGGATCTCCCGGCCCAGGGGCCGCCTAAAATCATCGCACGGATGCGTTTTCACCGGGGAAAAAGTGGTGCTGGTGGCGGGGGCAGCCGCTTCAGCTGGTGCTGGGATACACCCAACGAGCCAGGATGAAAAGTTGGATTATACCATATCTAGGTAAATCTTAGATGGATACAAACTAATCTTAGCTAGTCTTTTGGTATCAATGGGAATATCTACGTTCACCAGCTAAGATTGGCAATGATATTGGGAATGGTCATCAATCCATGAGTCAGGATGTATATTGCCAATATCATTTCCGTTGTAACGATTCCCATTGTGGGATGGATAATCGTTAGCCGTATACCATGTTTTGACAACTTGACCATGGCACTAGTGGCAGTTTTAAGGACAATCATATGCTAAAGCAGTGGGTTTTAGGGATGCATGCCTCATGTTCAGACAACTAAACAACACCAAGACATGTTTTTTTTGCGTCTGAAAAACGCCCAAAGTGCGGATGATAACAACTTGCCGGCGACGTCAGTGGAATGGTTAGGATTGGGGCAACCATCAAGTAGTCTGATCGCAGCTGAGTGACAAACTGTAGAGTATCCAGAACAATTACTTATTCAATGCTGATGTCACGATCATTTATAGTGGCTAAAAAAATGGTTTTGACATGATTTGTTTACCACCAAAAACGCGGACACATTCGGACATTACCAGCGGAAATGCCATTATTGGCCCCATTGTTGGTGAAATCTTGATCCTTTTGTGAGAATTTTGGACCTGCAGAAGTGCCAGGAGGAGGGAATGGAGTTGGCTCCTTAGTGGATGCCGTGTGGCTGACAGGCAGAATGTTTTATGTGAGATATAGTCAAAGGTTGCAAAAAAGCAAGTTCAGATAGAACTTCTAGGAATGTGAATAGTTTTTTTTCCCATAGTGAACCGCCCATGATGTTTCCACCTGTTCTATCTCTCTGCGGGCTGCCATGTCGTGGTTAGACAAGCTCACAGATGGCTCTTGTTGTTTCCGAGGGCTGCTGAGATGATAGTTGGGTGACCCTTCGGTATCCCCGAACCAGCTATGGAGGCTTAGTCCGCTGGGAGCATCAGCGGACTAAATGGGAGATTTTTCAGGAAACCATGTTTTAAAACTTTAAACTATACTCCGTTATACTCCCATGAAACCGGTTAGTACCATAAAAGCCCAATAACAAATGATTATTAAGTGTACATGTAATGATCACAATTATCCCTTACCAATGACATTTGGTTTGTACAAACAAAGAAATGCCAACCAAATCCTATGGCTACAAGGTGATGTTTGGCAAGTTGGTAGACAAACCAACTTAGCTATGGCATAGCTTTGGCATAACAGGAGGGCACCACCTCGTAACCATTTGTGATTCTCCAAGGCTCAACGAAGCTGACGAAGTGGAGGTCCTTCGAACCGAGCGCGGGGACCCATCGCGATTCGTCACCTGCGACCGGAACGAGACCGGAACGAGGATTCCGTGGAAAAAATGGCGGGGTGGCAAAGCAGCAAAGTAAGATAAGTACAGATGTGGAATTGTTTTTCTTGGGCGATTCTCATGGTTTTGATTTGATTTTGCGTGATTTTACTGGAAAAGTCGGGCTCTGTCGAATGAACATAGAGGACTTGAACCATGAAGCACAAACAAATGAATTTTGTCAAACACATGGTGGACTCAAGGGAGGGCGAACATTCGGTAGATGATACCAATGAAATTGGTTTTAAGCTTAGTTGCTCGGGCACTCGCGTTGCGAGCACTCGGCACTCACGTGCTGCAACTTACGTGCTGCAACTTATGCCAATGCATTTTTCATGGACAGAAATACGTCATATGTTTTTTTTTGAGTGAAAGGCATGTCGATGCTTTTTTTGGTGAATCAAAAATGCAGTGGCATATTAGCTAAGATCAAGTAAGCCCTTTAAGGACTTTGGATAAAGTAAAAACCCTAGATATGTGGCAGCAACAAGTATGTTTGTAGGAAAGCTGAGCTTCCACTCGGCGAAATGTGGAGGAGTGAAAAAGGCCTTGTCTCTTGCACAGGCCCCCAGAGAAATGCATTTACTTGAGTGTGAAAAAAGCATCCGGCAACATGTATACTTTTGGGCTCCCCCAAAGCTTAGAACCTTAGCTGATGCTTTTTTAAGCTTCAAGTAAATGCATCCATATGTGTTGATCATACCAAAAACCCTTGCGTTGCGAAACAGCTTGTTGCAACGGTACGTTGCGCGTGCTGCGTGCTGGAGCTACTAAGGTTTTAAGAAATACACCAAATACATGTTTATGCATTAATATATATATATATACATCTGTGTGTGTGTGTGTATCCATATACATACCTACCTACCTACCTACATGCATACATACATACATATATATATATATATTTATATATATATTTATATTTTGCACATTTATATATGTATGTATCACCCCAACAGAAAGATAGACACGTAAATGATTACTAAGATAGTGATGAATTAGTTGTCTATCTCTGGATGGTGGTTACCATCCTATCCGTTTCACAAATCTTCACTGACCACATCACTTTGGTCGCAGGTTGCTACATCGGCAGCAGGAACTCCGTGCCTTGAAGCAGGAAGTTGCCGTGTAGGGAGCACCCAGCTGGGAAAATCGTCCCACAGCTCCGCAGAGAAATCTGATTGTTCGGACTGCATGGTTGGAGATGGGGAAAAGAACCTCTGGGTAAAGAGATATGTTTTTGCGGCTAGCACCCAATATCAGCAATGATTTGCGGCCTGTGGGGTTGCAGTACTGCTGGATTCTGAGTAAACTGACTTGTGAATTGGGTAGTTCAAGTTCTATTTGGCAATCGTTTGCCATCCCAGCTGTGTGTTTTTTCAGGGTATCTCAGTCTAGCCATGGATTAGGAATGTGAAGATGTTCAAGGTACTTCTCAGATGGGTGTAAGTTTTCCCCCGAAGAATGGTGAACATGAAGGTGGGGGGCCCTGCTTGGCGCTTGAAACCCGGTGAAAAAACGCTCCATGTCATGAGTCATGAACATATCCCCTATCCTTTGGTCAACTCTTCTGTTTACCATGTGATTTCAGGTTGCGAAGAACCCTGGAGACGTCTCTCTGTCACAGTTGGCTGGGGCACTGGGTTGGGGACGTTGGCTGGGTTGTACACACCGGAACCTTTCTAAGTTGGGCTTGGACGGAACGAGCTCGTCCCATATTGGATTAAATGGTTTGTTCAGGGATCATTGCGGAAGTTGTTTTGCTTGATGGTCACCTGCGTGATGAAACGAACATGGAACAAATCTTCACGTGTCAACTGCCATGAATAAACCATTGGGCGGTTTGATTGGAGGGTGTGTCCAGGCAGTTGCCTAGGACGGTTAGGACAGCCGGACAGCCCAACATTGAGTTGTTGATTGTGTTGGCTTCAACTTTGGGAAAAGTTTGTGGCTGATTGGTTTGCAATTTTGGTGGGCAAAACACAGAAACACCTCAAAAAAGCATTGATTAGCGGCATTCGCCGGCAGGCTGTGAGGTTGTTTCAGGGAATCTGCCGGGCCATGGTCTATTTTCTTCGGCCAGGAAGGGCCACAGCACCACTGTTTCGAGGCAATTGTTCCCTTTAGATTTCATAACATGGCTGATATTGGCTGATTGGTGGTTTGGAACATGGTTTTTATTTTTCCATATATTGAGAATGTCATCATCCCAACTGACGAACTCATATTTTTCAGAGGGGTAGGGCTCAACCACCAACCAGATGGGATTGCTGTGAAATTTACGGTAGGTGTTTTGGAGGATGTAGTCAGTGTAGTTCCAGATTTTGGATACAGTGGTTCCTGAATAGACTGAAATGGTGCACCATGGTGAACCCATCTAGCGCAATCCGCAAACCCATGATTTCAATTCATTTCAGTCTGATGATGTTTGGACATATATCTTTTTCAATATATATATATATATTTATTTATTTCTGCATTTATTAGCATTTTTTGGGATCACGAAAACATTTCAGCTACTTCTTTTAAGTCCCACCAGGCTCCACTCCCATTATATACATTCCTTTTGGCTGAAGGATGTTGGTAGTGGACGGGGCCTGCTCGGCCCATTGTTGAAAAGGCAAGCAGCAACACATGGCAGGAGTCCAGGAGAAAATGTTCAAGACCTTCCCAAATGATGGGGCAAATGAGGAGCACTATCTGCACAGTTTTTACTATTTTTCCTTTTTTTGGATAGTTTGAGATTGACGCTATTTCTGATTTGGGGAGCAGAACCCAGTTGGCTCATGTGTTTAGAAAGGATTGATAACACCAAATAGTCCAACACAAGCATATTGCCTGGGTTATTGATCAAAGCGTGCACGTTATTTAGTGTTCTATCGAAAAAGGGGAACAACAATGTTCCCCAACATGTGGCGCCATGGCGGCGGAATATGTGGACCCGTTCTTGAAGCAAGGATTCGACGGAGATAGGACCAGCATTGCAAAACATGAAACATGTGTTTGTTCTTGTCCACCTGAAATGAATCTACGAAATGCTTGCAGTTGGTTATTACCCAACTGAAAACCACGTTTGAAGCTGCAGGATCAGTCTGCCTAGTAAATCGAGGCCCACAGATGCGTCCATGACACGGCCACCATAAAGCCAACATTTCACCGAGTTCGGATTCAGCTTACCGGGACTTTAGGGTACTACTACTTGGTTTTGCGGTTTGCCATGACTGGTTTAAAAAAAGGGAGAGCCCAAACAGAAACACACTGACATTCACATTTGTACAAATATACACATATCTATATAGTATACACCTAGCATCACATATACAGTACCGCACAAGGCGGTGGCGGAAGTTTCAAAAATATTAAACCTATAGGGGAGGTTGGCTGTTGTGACTCACGGATGGCAGAGCGAATCCACTGATGGAAAGGTGGTTGGAGTTGTGTGTTTTAGAGTGGCTGCAATGGTTGCAGAGGTCACCTCACCCACAACTGCTGGATGTAGTGTGGTGTAGTGCAGCTGTAGTTGTAGTGTAGTGTAATTGGATGTAATTAGTGTAGTGTAGATGCAGT